TGATGATGATGATAATGATGATGATGATGATGATGATGATGTTGATGATGATGATGATGATGTTGTTGTTGATGATGATGATAATGATGATGATGATGATGATGATGATGTTGATGATGATGATGATGATGATGATGTTGTTGATGATGATGATAATGATGTTGATGATGATGATGATGATGATGATGATGTTGACGATGATGATGTTGATGATGATGATGATGTTGATGATGATGATGATGATGATGTTGACGATGATGATGTTGATGATGATGATGATGATGATGTTGATGATGATAAGTCGTCAGTATTTCTTGTAGTAAAACATGGCTTTCAGTTTAATCATAGTTAATGGAGTGGAATGGTTTGGGGTTAAAAGCTTCTATATTCCCGCATAATATGAACAAACGGAGCAACGATTCTTTCTCTGTGCAGGGTCAACGTCATATAAAAATGGATAAAGTCGAACAAAAACCTAGAACAACAAGTTTCCCAACCATTCCGCTCCATTAACTATGGTTTAATAGTGGAAACACAGTGAAGTGACCCTCAAGATTTTAAAATCACACGCGTTACAAAACTTCAGTTTAATACAGTAGTGGAATCCATTACAGTGAAGTCGTTTGGTAATAAAATATATTGATGTCTGGTCGCGAAGGGAATAGTTAGTTTTGATTTCCAGTCGAGAGTCTCGGTGTTTCCCGAGGCAACGCCTCCCACCTCCCTGCTATATAACAACGACTTATAATGTCCTGGGATTAGAAATGGCCCCCAAAATATCACAAATGCCCTCCTAGCAGCTTCGCAGCCGTTGCCAAATGTTCTCTTTTCGGACCGTTTTTCGTCTTCGGACATTATCAGCCAATATCCCAGCCGCCAGAAGGGGTTTATATACTAATCATTACCCCTTATTGCTCCATTACAGTTTTGAGGGATCAAATCTGCCCAACTACTGATGATAAAGTCGACTATAAATATGCTCGCATCAAAACTTTTAATGGCAAATACCTTTGGGCAGAACCAAAAACATCCACAGACGCAAAATACGTCAGAACGCGTTGCTGTGGAGTGAAAGACGTGGTTGGACGCCAAGATATCAAGGTCCCAACACTAAGATCGACTTTTAAGGTTCATTGTAATAAAGTGATTGGAGAATTTCGCCCAGTTGTACTATTCGAAGTATTAAAATATGACAGCAACGAGCCTTCTGGTCATTTTCTGTACGCTTCTGAGAAAAATAGGCCTATGTACGTTGTGAAAAATCCAGATTTTAAAGAGGCTGGGGTGAATTTTGTTCTTGAACGCTGGAAGGCTGGCAGTCAGATAGGAATCGGAACCATAGATCCAAAAAAATGGTTGAGCTTTCGGGACGATGGAGACGGAGATATTGATGTCTATAGTGCGTCTACAAGTCAGTTTCCGATTCCAAATGTTTCAGAAAGATACTCCATCGAAATTAGTAAGTCAGTAATGTAATTATCCATAAAATCAACTAACAAGCTTTTTATATTTATAAAAAGTTTTTATATACTGAACTAATAGCTTAAACACACATGGTAACGATATATCAGTTTTTCGAAAAGGAGAAATATATATGATAATCTGAAATATTGACTTAATGAGGTAACAGAGCAAGTATTATGTTCAGTGGGCTGATCCAGGGGGTGTACCTASATGCACCGGACACCCCGCAAGCCGCCTGTAATTTTGTTGTTGTTACATATATGTCTTTTTTATATCATGATTTCTGTTTCTCGAATTTTTAGCCTGACTCAAGATTAAACCGCTTGAAATTCAATTAAATGATAATGATGTGATTCTTTGACTGTCTGCATTGCTTCATGTAGTATCTAAAGAATGCGTAGAAACGCCTTTCGATCAGTTAATCTTGGCAGCTCCAGAGAAAACGAGTGCAGACGATTGTGAGAAACTACCAGATCGATGCTTCTTGTCCCTAGGTTGGGACTACAGGATGAGACAAATGCAACCAGGATACTGTTACTACAGGAAAGGTTCGACGTCTTGTTATTAATTATCAATACATCTATTGATATTTGTTCTTTTTTCCCCTACACATTTCCCTTCGCCACGTTACCACATCTGAAATTTGTGTTCTAATTAAACCAATTCAATAACCTTTTTCAGGTTCTATGTGCTTCAAACCAAGTCAACGCTATAAAGATGTAAGATATAAAAACCCGAAAGACTGTGAATCTAACGGCTTGTGTTGGGACTATCTTGCCAAATATTGTTATCTTGGAGTTGATCCAGGAAAATAAACAATGTTCAAATGCATTTCCTTATATAAATAAATTTGTGATTCAGCATCAAGGAAAAACCAACCCTTCATACTCAGCAATCAGCTCCTTCCTTCCGCGAGTGCCCACATACGCACCTGTTCACCTAGCCACTACAATACCTATACCTATATACCTACCTAACCTATTCCTACCAAACCCATCCCATCCCATCCCATCCCATCCCATCCCATCC